AACAACCACAACAACAACAACAACAACAACAACAACAACTATGAGACAATAGGTCGATTCAACCAATCATAAATCAACATACCTGTTAAAGGGTTATTCTCATCTGGTGATACTTAATGAGCTGCTTATAACACTAAAGTCATCATTTCTAATTTGAAAATTCTAACTCATCAAATTTCCTTCTTTTTTAGAGACAATATAAAAAATTGCGGGTTGATCAGGAATGTAAAAAAAAAAGTAAAATATAAAGTAAGTTTATTTATGTTCACTCAATACTCTATGTTTTGACAACAATAATGAGCTGCACGTTAGAATGTTCACTCGCGCCAAAAGTAAAAGCGCCAGAAAACGCCCTCAAAGTTTGGCAAAGTTTAAATAACCATAATCTTGTTGTTTGAAGACTTAGAACATTTGAGTTTGTTTTAATTTCAAGGTTAGGTATTCTAGATTCTGAAGCTGGCTTTGGTTTTCGTTCCTCACACCCACAAGTCAGCGGATGCCCTGATTAAAAAAATGTCAGGTTTTTATTCACAGCAATTATGGTTGTTCGAACCTTAACCAAACATTGAGATCGTTTTATGGTAAAATAACACTGTAATAATGGATGGTTTCATGCTTCCATACAGTCCAGGCTTTCTTACACCCCTCATTCTGTCTGTCTAGTTCTTTTCATGCTCTGTAATATTGATTCTTTTCTCCTTTCCTTCTGGTTTATGCAACCCCACAGGGGAAGGCCGACTTGTATGAAAAAATAAATAAAATAAAACTTACCACGGGGAGATGGAGGATGATTCTCTTCCTTGTTACTAGCGAATTCCAAAGCCATAGTCCATGAAGAGGTCCGAGTCGTCAACAGAAGAGGCAGCAGGAGAGGGTGTGGCATAGGACTAGATGACAGGGACGTAATCAATGACAATGACAGTCAGGGTCATCCACTGCCTCTTCCTCCTCCTGTGTTGTCCCACCAGCTTGCCGGGGTGTATCCTGCTTATCAAGGAGGGCCGTCAGCCAGGCTTGCCCTTGGGTACCAAGAAGGGCAACAGGGCTCCTGAGGTCCTGGCACTTCTCCGCCGTCAGGAGTCGATCTTCGGGGTACTTGGGGGTGAGGGACACACTCGCCAGGTCGAATCTTTTCCGTGACCAGGAGCCTTTACCACCAGGAGCCTTTACCCTTCGTGAGCTTCACTTTTGTGGTGTTGTCTCTTAGGTCATCCTTATTGTAGTTTATCTTCATTAGGTAACCCTCTGGGAAGGCATTCCACAATCAGCTGACAAACCTGAGAGAAGCCAGAGCCACTCCGTCGGGCGATGTACTGTTGGAGGTCTTTGACATCTTTGAAGTCATCCCGCCCCATTGCCACTACAGGAAAGGTGTTCTTGACAGCACTGCGGATGGCATCGATGTAGTCCCTGGCACTTGCAATACTCTGAAATCTCCTTAACTTCTTCTCGATCAACCCAAAGGCTCGGTCACAGGGGAGGTGTGAATGGCCACTTTTCATAAAGATGAACTCAATCCTGATCAATCGTTTTGCATGCACCTGCTGCAGTGCCATGAGCAGCATGAAGTACATGTTCCGGTGATCACCTGAGCGATGGCCTTGTGCTCCTCAGTTCGGTCTAAAGCTGGGTGATCCCCTCTCGGTCTTCACCTGTCGCAGGTGGTGCGCACATCGGTTCTTGGTGGTTGATAGACGATGTTGTAGTCCTTTGTGAACACCTGTCGATAAAACCGCTCAGACACCTTCTCCTCCCCTGGGTACTTCTCGTTCATCCAGGTGATGGAGTGACCGTGAAGCTCACCGATGGTGCCTCCACTTTCAAGGTATTTTCGGTGGGGGACATGTGCCCTGGTGTAATGGCTGGCAGTAACAGGTAGTGAACGGATATGCTCGTGAACACGGTCAAGACGATCACCTGCGATGGCTCTGGAAGAGGGGTGATGACCACGCTTATCACCAACTAGGGTGCCACTGGGTGATTCCTTCCTTTTCTTCAAGAGGACCTTCACCTTTTGTATGCCAATACCATGATTCGATATAAAGCCCTTCCGACAAACCTCCATTTCCTGCTGCCTCACTTTCACAAAATACATATATAACAATGGCCTCTGGCTCCCCTCGGCCTGTTTGCGCTTCTTTTTCACTGGTACTTCTTTAATTGGAGATTACAGGTAGGCATTTTGTGCACTGTACTCGCCAATAGCCCAGAAATTGGCGAAAATGGTGTCAATGTCAGCACGGATGACAGGGCTCAAAAACTTTCCTGGGCTCTAATCTTTTCTTGGTCGAGTAACTAACGTAATCAAGGCCAAGATTACTTCGCTTTTTTGCACTATCCTGGGCCCACTGCTCAACATTGCATGCACGCTTGCATTCTTTTTGCTATTGGGTGACGTGCGTGCCCAGCACCCTTCTCGGCCTCACCAGCTGTTACCATTGCCTCACCACCACTACCATCACTACCTTCACTCAGTTCACCACCAATAACACTACCACCATTATCACTTTCATCCTTGGCACTATCACGAGGGACATGAACCATGTTGCCACTGATATCAAGGATAGCAGGATTATCAACAACGGTATTGCTATCACTGGCCTGCTGGCCCGGCAACACTAACATCGTGATCACGGCCTTCTCCTGACATTCTTGGCACTGTTTAGCGCTCTAAAAGCTTGTAATAATGGCACAAGATAAGAAAAAGTATGGAGGGTTTGCCGGAAGGACCGCAGGCAAAACACAACAAAACACACTAAGATGACGGACCGATGCCGCACGCTGATTGGCTTTTGCAGAGGGTGGACGAGTGAACTTTCTGATGTGCATCACTCTCTTGGGTTTTCTCGGGAAGTTTGGGTGGATGGTTGGAAATAATACTTTACTTTGAATGACTTTTAACCTTATTTTCAGTGTTGCAATGTTCACTCAACCACTCTCAGCTGATAGAAAAGGGGTTAAAATAGGCGTATCCCATATAAAACCCATTTTGGCGGCTTGGCACCAGTACACATTCTAATGCGCGGAGGGATTCTCACAAGTGAATTCCTCGGCAATTGCTATGATATAAATGAAGTCTATAGAAATCTTAATAGAATTTTTGCTCTATCTTATACATGAAAGTAAAATAAATGTAATAGTTTGTGTTATTAAGATTATTTTTATTACATATGTGGTTATGTTTTAGTGATGTGTGTGTGTGTGTGTGTGCTCACAGGGTGGTGTAATGCGTCAGTGTGGCAGCAGTACGTCAGTGTTAAGGTGCAGGCATTGCTTGATCCCTCTCGCTTTTAGCTACCGCTGCCAGCTACATCTCGTGGCAAATAGGGAAGCAACTTGCATAAGTCTTCCCCTGCCAGTACACAGCCTCTTCACCATCAAGACTCCTGCTGTGCCTCCTCGTGGCAACATACGGTAACTGGGTGCCTCGTGGGCCCAGGCAAGACCAGCAAGGGATCTCGAAGTAGTAGTGGGTCCCAGAGGGACGGCGCATAGGCCCACTGGCATGTGGATACGTCCTGGCGCCTACCAACCACCGCCCCGCTGCCTTGAGGATTAATCTTGGCAGCTAAGGCTACGGGAGTAAACCCCAAAAAGAAAAACCTGTGGGGGAGCCCCACATCAGGCAGACACGCTTACAGAGCTCCAACAAGACCCCATCGACGGTGTAGGCGGAAGAGGTAACCACCATGGGAACCCAACGACTTCGCCGGCGGATGACGGCAATGCACGATGGACAGGCTATTCAGGCGAAACCCAACAAACTGGGCTATCGGCAGTCCATTGCAAATATCTTTCTCCTCAGTCGTTGCAACACTTGCAGCACTGGTTCAGGAAAAGGGAGAGCCAAGATGTGTAGTTGCAGCCTGCGCTCCTGCCTCACCACATAAATCAACTCAAACACAGCCATCATCCAGCTCATCATACCTCTCTTTATCATCAAAACCCCTATACCCCCAAAAGTCCCATGGCGACAAACGAGTGGCGACGGGGACAGGCAGAGATGACTGCCGAGAGTCTCTAGTCACAACTCTGCACATGGGCGGCAAAGTTAAGATGGTCGTTTATGCACTGGGATCTAGGCAGCAGTGCAATCCGGTACTGTCTGTGAGACTGAGCGGCGCTTTCGAGGAGCCACTCTGCTCACCCGGGGGGAGGGGGCTAAAAAAGGTACCCCTAAAAATAGCCTGCCTAAAAACCCAACCTGACTGGGCAACCGCGCCCAATAAAATCATCCTTATGCGGTCGAAAACACAATCAAAATCACAGATCCAAACAAAAACAAACTATACAAACTCTTATGATCGCTGCATGGAATGTCAGGACCCTTCTGGATGCTGGCACAAATGAGCGTCCTGAAAGAAGAACCACCCTTGTGGCCAAAGAGCTGGCTAGGTATAACATCGACATAGTAGCCATTAGTGAGTCCCGGCTCTCAGACGAGGGGCAAATCACAGAATGGGGGTCTGGCTATACCTTCTTCTGGAAGGGTAAGCCTGCTGCGGAGAGAAACCGTATTTATGAAGTTGGCTTTGCCATCCACCAATGCATCCTACACGGGCTAACTGAAATACCTATTGGGAACAACAAGCGTCTTATGACGCTCCGAGTCCCACTGAATCACTTGCGTCATGCCTTTTTCATCAGTGCATACGCCCCAACATTGAATGCAGAGGATGACATCAAGGAGGCCTTTTATGGCGACCTTGACAGAGTGCTAACCTCTATCCCCAGAGAAGATACGGTTGTGCTCCTATGTGACTTCAATACCAGAGTTGGTAGAGATGCTAACATTTGGCAAGGAACCATAGGGAGAAATGGACTAGGCAAGTGTAATCCCAACGTCCTACTCCACCTCAGCAAGAGTGCTGCACACAACCTCACTATCACCAATACCTTGTTTAGGCAGGCTGACAAGTTCAAGGGTTCGTGGCAACACCCACGATCCAAACACTGGCATCTCATTGACTACATCATTCTCAGAGAAAGCGATAGCCGAGATGTCCTCATCACTAGTACCATGCGTGACTCAGACCACTGCGACACTGATCATCGGCTCGTCAGAGTCAAGCTCTCAATTTGAGTCGCCCCAAAACGGCGAAGGCAACAAGCTAGAGGAAGTTTTAATACTAGGCGTCTGGAGGATCCAGCGGTAGCACATGCTTTCAGAGAGCAGCTCGAACAGTGGATGATAAACAGCCCTACAAAGAACAACCCAAATCCCACTGCCGAATGGAATATTCTCAACACTGTCATAACAAAACCTGCAGAGACCCTCGGCCAGATCGAAAGAATACACCAGGACTTGTTTGATGAAAATGACCCAGCAAACAATGTACTCATCAATGATAAACGTGCTGCTTTAACTGAATGGCAGAACAACCCTCAGTCTCGGACCAAAGCTGATACCATCTGCAAGAAGAAAGCTGTGCCCCAGTGGGAACTTCACAATCTAAAGAATGACTGGTTTAAAAATACAGCATGTGAAATACAAAAATTTGCAGATCAGCACAGGATGCTATTTTCAATTCCATCAAAACATTTTATAGGCCAATCACTCGTGGCGCAGCCTCCCTCCGCTCATCCGACGGCAACTCCATAATTAAAGACAACGAAGGCCGCCTTCAGCGCGGGAAAGAGCACTACCATTCACTGCTCAACCGAAATACTGATGTGGATGTCCTGACTATCCAGCAGGTCCTTCAGCATCCAGAGCTGACCCACCTCAGCTATCCTTCATCCACAAATGAGGTAACTACTGCCATCAGGCAGATCAAAAATAACAAAGCCTCAGGGCCTGATGATATCCCAGCCGAGGTGTATAAAGCAAGAGGACCTCTGCTTACCAGCCGTCTCCACTCTCTCTTGGAGAATATATGGGAAAAGAAGGAAATCCCCCAAGCTCTTTAAGACGCCTCCATCGTCAATATTAAGAACAGGGGAGACCGGTCAGACTGTGGCAACTACCGCGGGATCTCGCTGCTGTCCGTAGCTGGAAAGATTATTGCCCAATTCCTCCTAAACAGACTCCTTTCTGAGGAGGAAAACTTCCTCCCAGAATCTGAATGTGGTTTTAGACCATCACGTGGCACCATTGACATGATCTTTGCTGCCCGCCAGATACAGGAAAAGTGCAGAGAACAACGTCGTCGCCTGTACATGACTTTCATCGACCTCACCAAGGCCTTCGACTCGGTCAACAGGGAAGCCCTCTGGTGGACCCTCAGCCGTTTTGGCTGCCCCCTCCCCCTTCCCCAATTCATCGCCATTGTGAGGCAACGGGGGTTTAAAAAGGGTGTGTCCTGGCACCAACTCTCTTTTCTATTTTCTTGGTTGCCTTCCTAACTCGTGCCATTGCCAATTTAGTCGGCGGGGTGGACATCGAGTATTAAGTGAAGGGAGCTCTTTTCAACATAAGATGGCTCCAGGCAAGAACAAAGGAGTCGGTATGTTCCATTACTAAACTTCAGTATGCAGACAACCTCACTCTTGTTGCTCACATTGAACGCGACCCACAGGAGAACCTGAATACCTATGCAGATGCGTATGCACACTTCGGTCTTGAGGTGAATGTACGTAAGACTTAGATTCTCTTTCAACCTGCCCCTGGTTCAGACACACCTCCAACATCCATCCATCTTAACGGTACTACCCTCTCTAAAGTTTCCCACTTTCGGTACCTCGGCTCCCAACAGTGCACCACAGCGGACATCGATGAAGAGATTCAGCATTGGATCAGATGTGCATCTCAAGCCTTTGGCAGGCTCCGAAACCTTGTCTTCAGCTGTAGGGAGCTAAAATTATCTACAAAGTTACACGTATATCAAGCAGTGATCCTCCCCACCCTGCTATATGTCAGCGGGACATGGGTTTAATACAGGAGGCACCTCGAAGCACTTGAAAACTTTCACCAACGTAGTCTACGTTCCATCCTCCGAGTTCGCTGGGAAGACAAGAGAACAAATGCCAGCATCCTTGCTGACACCAAATGTAGGAGCATCGAGGCTACCATTATCCATGAACAACTACACTGGACTGGCAATGTTACCCGCAGGGACGACAATAGACTGCCAAAGCAGCCACTTTACAGTCACCTAACTAATAGTAAACGTAATGCCCGTTGGCACTACACGAGAAGGTGTCAATACTTTCGAGTTAGCCCAACTGAAAACCGAGGCAGACAAGCGCCAACGCCGGAAAGACGCTTCCACCGTCCCGTCCGCACTAGTTGTAGCCCTCCACATGTGCAACATCTGTGAACAACTCTGCCGGTCCTGTATCGGACTCTACAGTCACCTCAAAATTCACCAATGAAGGTGACACATCCCCAATAACTCATATCATTGTATCATAGCGGGATGATCGTCATACTCGATTCAGAGTGAAAGCAAAGTAGTAGTAGTAGTAGTAGTAGTAGTAGTAGTAGTAGTAGTAGTAGTAGTCATGGTAGTCATGGTAGAACCGACCCTCCTTCCACTGGATGGCGAGATCCTCCAACACAGGACTTCAAACACATCTAACGAAGCCCGTGTGGACGTCAGTGCTCGAGGATTCTGGACGCGGGGACAGCGAGCCTTCTTCGACATCAGGATTTTTGATCCCATGGCCGTTTGTCACCGTAACCTAGCTCTCGATGCTGCACATAGGAGGAACGAGAACGACAAGAGAAGGGCATATGGGGAGAGAATTCAAAATGTCGATCAAGGCAGCTTCACTCCGCTAGTGTTCACAACCTCTGGTGGGATGGGCCCAAGCGCAAGATGTTTCTACGCCAGACTCGCGGAGCTGATCTCCGAACAGAAGCAGCAGCCCAGAAGTTATGTCACAGCCTGGATGAGATGTCGACTGTCCTTCTCTCTCCTTCGGTCGGCTTTGCTCTGCCTCAGGGGAACGAGAGCTTCTGCCCCTACTCCGTCAACTGCTGCAGATATCGACTATGAGGCTACAGTCACCGAATGCCGCATCGATCTGCGGCTCAACTAATTTAACACAGATAGGATAGTTGCTTATGTATTAGGATATTTAATATTAAGGTAAATAAATGGTGGCGAAGGTGTGGCTATTGGGGGAGGCTGGAGGCCACGTTAGTAGTAGTAGTAGTAGTAGTAGTAGTGTGTGTGTGTGTGTGTGTCGTTATAAAGCCATCGAAATCAGTGGACAATGATAACACTGATTTATGGCGATTTCCACTACTTTCATTTCACCATACGTTAATCACAGAGGGTTAGATTAGGTTCGGTTAGGTTAGGTTAGGTTAGGTTCGGTTCGGTTAGATTAACTTAGTGTATTTCAATCATCATGAGAAATAAGCTGGGATTTGTATCTATTTTTCACGTGACCTAAAGTTAATGTGCCTTTAACCCAATCCATTAGCCTGAAGGACCAACCAAACTTTAATTCACAAACGCACATAAAAAAAAGAACTACTCATTGACATTCTAAATACTCGATAAATCTTGGTGTATAATCATGAAATCTTTCCACTTCACCACTTCACTACACACACACACACACACACACACACACACACACACACGCGTCATGTTTTCAAGTTCACTGCTGTCTTGACAAATGGATTATCGGATCACAATTTTTTTTCTCATGTGATTTTGACCTTATGGTTGACCTAGACCTTGCCTCTGACCTTGACCTTACATCTAATCTTGACCTTACACCTGACCTTGACCTTACATCTGACCTTGACCTTACATCTGACCTTGACCTTACATCTGACCTTAACCTTACATCTGATGGTAATGATTGTTTATCAGACCATAGCTTACAGCCCAGAGAAAGACAGTCAACACGTATATAGCAGTGACCGGGAGCGCAAGTTGACCCACCCTTCGTAATTAAATTGAGTTTAAGACCTGACCAATATATTCAACCAACCACACAAACTTACCATGATATACTCAATCAACCACACACACTTACCATGATATACTCAACCAACCACACACACTTACCATGATATACTCAACCAACCACACACACTTACCATGATATACTCTATCAACCACACACACTTACCATGATATGTTCAACCAACCACACACACTTACCATGATATACTCAACCAACCACACACACTTACCATGATATACTCTATCAACCACACACACTTACCATGATATATTCAACCAACCACACACACTTACCATGATATACTCAATCAACCACACACACTTACCATGATATATTCAACCAACCACACACACTTACCATGATATGTTCAACCAACCACACACACTTACCATGATATACTCTATCAACCACACACACTTACCATGATATACTCAACCAACCACACACACTTACCATGATATACTCAACCAACCACACACACTTACCATGATATACTCAATCAACCACACACACTTACCATGATATGTTCAACCAACCACACACACTTACCATGATATACTCAATCAACCACACACACTTACCATGATATATTCAACCAACCACACACACTTACCATGATATGTTCAACCAACCACACACACTTACCATGATATACTCTATCAACCACACACACTTACCATGATATATTCAACCAACCACACACACTTACCTGATATACTCAACCAACCACACACACTTACATGATATACTCAATCAACCACACACACTTACCATGATATATTCAACCAACCACACACACTTACCATGATATGTTCAACCAACCACACACACTTACCATGATATACTCTATCAACCACACACACTTACCATGATATATTCAACCAACCACACACACTTACCATGATATACTCAACCAACCACACACACTTACCATGATATACTCAATCAACCACACACACTTACCATGATATACTCAACCAACCACACACACATACCATGATATACTCAACCAACCACACACACTTACCATGATATATTCAACCAACCACACACACTTACCATGATATGTTCAACCAACCACACACACTTACCATGATATACTCTATCAACCACACACACTTACCATGATATGTTCAACCAACCACACACACTTACCATGATATACTCTATCAACCACACACACTTACCATGATATACGAACGTAGAACAGACGACAGGAAAGGAAAACATAATCAATAAGAAAAAAAAAACACATAATGAATAAGCTTTGAGAAAAGACAGTGCAAACGATTTACATTTTATAATTCAATAGAACAAGGAGCAATAAAGAGCTAAAACGATTATTATTATTATCTTATATTTATGAGGAAATGGCTGACACTCTTGTATCTTAAACCTCATTGGCTGGTTTTTGTTTCACGTTAAGGGTGGTGATTGGCTACTCGTTTCCCCGCAGCTGTGGATAACTCGTCATTGGCTCGTCATTGGCTCGTCATTGGCTCGTCATTGGTTCGTCATTGTCTCGTCATTGTCTCGTCATTGGTTCGTCATTGTCTCGTCATTGGCTCGTCATTGGCTCGTCATTGGTCAATAATTAAAATCATTTCAAGGTTTTTTATGATGGTTATCGAATATATGATATCTGATACCTTATTATCAGTATGATAATAAGCTCGCCATATATAAAATTTAAGGTCAAGTGTCAGAGGTAAGGTCGAGGTCAGATGTAAGGTCAAGGTCAGATGTAAGGTTAAGGTCAGAGGTAAGGTCAAGGTCAGATGTAAGGTTAAGGTCAGATGTAAGGTTAAGGTCAGATGTAAGGTTAAGGTCAGATGTAAGGTCAAGGTCAGATGTAAGGTTAAGGTCAGATGTAAGGTTAAGGTCAGATGTAAGGTTAAGGTCAGATGTAAGGTTAAGGTCAGATGTAAGGTCAAGGTCAGATGTAAGGTTAAGGTCAGATGTAAGGTCAAGGTCAGATGTAAGGTTAAGGTCAGATGTAAGGTCAAGGTCAGATGTAAGGTTAAGGTCAGATGTAAGGTCAAGGTCAGATGTTAGGTCAAGGTCAGATGTTAGGTCAAGGTCAGAGGTAAGGTTAAGTGAGATTTCCATATATAGAATAAGAAAAGTTAAACTTTGACGAAAAGTTGATACTGAGACTCTCAAGGTCGCTAACCTAACCTAACCAAATCTAACCCTAATCTTATATATCCATATCGGGTCTAACGTAACCAAATTAAGCCCTGCCCTAACCTAGCCAGATCAAGCCCTAACCTAACCTAACCTACCCTAACCTAACCTAACCTAACCTAACCAGATCAAGCCCTAACCTAACCTACCCTTAACTAACCTAAAATAATCTCACTTAACCTAATCTAACAGTCTAATGAAGGTAAACAATGGCATGTAATTTTCGAATTTAGAATTTATGTACGAAAACCCTTACAAAATGTGTACGGAATGACCTGTGTACGGAATGACCTGTGTACGGAACAACCTGTGTACGAAACGACCTGTCCACTAAACGACCTGTGCACGGAATGATCTGTGTACGGAATGACCTGTGTACGAAACGACCTGTCCACTAAACGACCTGTGTACGAAACGACCTGTGTGCAGAACGACCTGCGTAAAAAACGACCTGTATACGACCAATCCTCCATCGACCTGTAGCTTCGCCTGACTGCTTATAAGTTGGTGACACGAACTACATTAAAGAAGTATTAATATATCATGATATACTCACACACACACATACCATGATATACTCAACCTCACACACAAACACTTAACATGATATGCTCAACCTCACACACACACACACACACACACACTTACCATGATATACTCAACCTCACACACACAAACACTTACCATGATATACTCAACCTCACACACACACACTTACCATGATATCCTTCATCCTTGACCACCGAAGGGTCAAGACGTACCTGGCGCTCCTCTCGGAGCAGCCTGGTCAACTGTTAAGTTGGCCCATACCAACTCCCTCCCCTGAACCCTCCTCCCCACCGGAATATCAACAAGTTCACGCCAGAAGTTACTATTTCATTTAGGAAAGGAATGGAACCAGTGTTAAACAGAGGTGAACAGTGGTGAACAGTGCTTAAGTCAGTGAGAACAACTCAACAGTAACAGTGGTACCCAAGTTGACCTTCACACAGTGAGGTCCCAGGTACCCAGTAATAACGGCCCGACCCAACAACCAGCGATGTGTTAATCCGTCTACGATAGGAAGGCCTGGGACCACACCTCACTCATAGACCACCGTCTGTGAGGGAACTACTACACCACGTGAGGTCCCTCATAACACCATCTGTGAGGGAATTACTACACCACGTGAGGCCCCTCATAACACCATCTGTGAGGGAATTACTACACCACGTGAGGCCCCTCATAACACCATCTGTGAGGGAATTACTACACCACGTGAGGCCCCTTAACACCATCTGTGAGGGAATTCCTACACCACGAGGCCCCCATAACACCATTCCAGAGGCCCACCACGTGAGGCCCCTATAACACCATCTGTGAGGGAATTACTACACCACGTGAGGCCCCTCATAACACCATCTGTGAGGGAATTACTACACCACGTGAGGCCCCTCATAACACCATCTGTGAGGGAATTACTACACCACGTGAGGCCCCTCATAACACCATCTGTGAGGGAGTTACTACACTACGTGTCTGCTGTTCAACACCTCAGCTCACATGATCTACGTGACCGCCACTGTAAACATTAATCTGTATGTTCACTGTATGTTCCTTTACCTTTCTCTAATGAAGGCTTTTGTTAAACCACCAATGTATGTAATAAGTCATTTATGCCCAATGTATATTTTCAGCCTTCGGGCTGCAGAACTTTTTCAATAAACCGTTAATTATTATTATTATTATTATTATTATTATATACTCAACCTCACCCACACACTTTTTTACTTTTTTTTTACTTTTATCCTCTTCGCCACTGATCGGTTTTGTTAGCTGCCTGGGCGATCGGTCACGACTCTTTCCTTTATATTCTTCACCAAAGGTCGGCTCATAGCCGCCGGGCGCCACTTACATGATATACTTACCCACTCACAGTCACCATGATATACTCACACACACACACACTTACCATGATATACTCAACCTCACACACTTACCATGATATACTCAACCTCACACACTTACCATGATATACTCAACCACACACACTTACCATGATATACTCAACCTCACCCACACACACTTACCATGATATACTCAACCTCACACACTTACCATGATATACTCAACCACACACACTTACCATGCTATGCTCACCCACACACACTTACCATGATATACTCACACACACACTTACCATGATATACTCAACCAGGTACAGGTGTGGTGAAGGTAAGGCATGTGCTGTACTCTGACAACCTGTTAGGACATTTAGGAAAATCTTGTATTCATCGTCACCAAAGGAAGTGATTCAAGTCAACAACAAACACTACTTTTCCTCAAACCACTTATACTAAAACCACTTATCCTTAAACCAATTATAGTTAAACGACATATACATAAACCACTTATACTTAAACCACTTATACCTAAACCACTTATACCTAAACCACTTATACTTCAACCACTTATACCTAAACCACTTATCCTTAAACCACTTATCCTTAAAACACTTATATTTAAACCACTTATACTTAAACCACTTATTCTTAAACCACTTATAATTAAACCACTTATACTTAAACTACTTATACTTAACTCACTTATACTTAAATCTCGTTCTTCCTAAATAAGTGACCTGGAAACACAAGTCTAAAGACCTTAGGATTTTTTTTATTAGCAAATCCTCATCACGTTAGTGTGTGACGTAACCAGGTCCTTCATGACGTCAGTTAAGGGAAGAAAAAAGTGCCTAATATATTTTTTTGGGTATCTTACATTACTGTATTTAATCATATTTTGTATTTTTAATCAAGATCGGATAAAAAAATAACCATAATGAATTTGCTAACTACTAACAATCACTACTATAATTCTAAAAAAAAAGAAAATCACAGTAATTAATTATAATTTCATGAAACAGACCTCGACCTCGGGAGTAACTAAGCGAAAGATATAAAAAATTTGAAGTAATACGTGCGTGTTTACTAGCTCTGAGTGTAGACTATCTTTATGAGAACACATAATTATATATTCATCGTTAAAATATTCCACGAGAATGTTTTAATATCATTCTTCGGTATACGCGAGCTGATTGGCTGTGATCTATCTCATCAAAACCTGATTGGTTCCTTGTTCCTGAAGCTGTATTCGGTTTGCCATTGGCCAGTGCTTCGTATAGTCTTGAAGTTCTTATAATCGTTGTTTAAAACTGGTCAATATCAAAAGCCAATAAGAAGTAGTGAAGAGCCTGGAAGACACAAGGTATGGGTTTCCATTGGCCAGGAGGCGGAGTTAGTGGGCGGGAGGATGATAAGAGGCCAGAAGGTGTCTAGTCAAAAGCAGAAGGTCCTCTGACAGGCTGAGAACCGCTGCTCCAGTAGATCCGTTCCTGCTGCTGGTGTTGTCGCTGTTGACGCTGAAGGTGTGAGAAAATTGTGCTTGTGTCGAGGAAGACCTAATAGTCGTGTGTGTCTGTTAGTTACCTGGTTGTTGATCCACATCGTCTGTCAACATTATGAAGGTCAGTTCTGGTCGTCTTCCTCACCAACATTGTCATTTTCTCTTTATTTACAGCATTATCTTCTTAACGCAGAGTCTCCACCAAGCATCTCTCACCGTGTACGTACATCTCCGCACACACACTTCATACTAACACCCCTCTCATCCCTACACTCCGACCAACTTTAACGTTACGCAGTGAAAAATCAAACAAAAAACACACACAACTGAAAATAATTAGCAAAATATCAGAAAAACTCACAACTCCACGGAAATATATGTCAGCATTTCCCAGCTCGAAGCTACAGGAACACTTTGTTGACCGTATTAGTGTTAAGGGTTTGTCATCATGTTGGAGGTGTGTTATATGATGCAGGTGTTAACAGGTGTGCTATATGTTGCAGGTGTTAAAAGGTGTGCTATATGTTGCAGGTGTTAACAGGTGTGTTATATGTTGCAGGGGTTAAACGGTGTGCTATATGGTATAGGTGTTAACAGGTGTGTTATATGTTGCAGGTGTTAGCAAGTGTGTTATATGTTGCAGGTGTTAAACGGTGTGCTATATGGTATAGGTGTTAACAGGTGTGTTATATGTTGCAGGTGTCAAACGGTGTGCTATATGTTGCAGGTGTTAAACAGTGTGTGATATGTTGTAGGTGTTAACAGGTGTGATATGTTGTAGGTGTTAACAGGTGTGCTATATGTTGCAGGTGTTAAACAGTGTGTGATATGTTGTAGGTGTTAAGAGTGTGTTATATGTTGCAGGGGTTAAACAGTGTGCTATATGGTATAGGTGTTAACAGGTGTGTTATATGTTGCAGGTGTTAGCAAGTGTGTTATATATTGCAGGTGTTAAACGGTGTGCTATATGGTATAGGTGTTAACAGGTGTGTTATATGTTGCAGGTGTCAAACGATGTGCTATATGTGCAGGTGTTAAACAGTATGTGATATGTTGAGTGTTAACAGGTGGATATATATTTGTAGTGTTAGCATGTGCTATATATTGCAGGTGTTAAACAGTGTGTGATATGTTGTAGGTGTTAACAGGTGTTTATATGTTGTAGGTGTTAACAGGTGTGTGATATGTTGTAGGTGTTAACAGGTGTGCTATATGTAGGTGTTAAACAGTGTGTGATATGTTGTAGGTGTTAACAGGTGTGCTATATGTTGTAGGTGTTAACAGGTGTATACATGTTGTAGGTGATAACAGGTGTGCTATATGTTGTAGGTGTTAACAGGTGTGGTATATGTTGTAGTGTTAACAGGTGTGTATGTTGTAGGTGTTAACAGGTGCTATATGTGGGTGTTAACAGGTGTGTGATATATTGTAGAAGTTATGAGTGTGCTATATGTAGAGGGTGAATAGTGTGTGATATGTTGTAGGTGTTAACAGGTGTGCTATATGTTGTAGGTGTTAACAGGTGTGCTACATGTTGTAGGTGATAACAGGTGTGCTATATGTTGTAGGTGTTAACAGGTGTGGTATATGTTGTAGGTGTTAACAGGTGTGCTATATGTTGTAGGTGTTAACAGGTGTGGTATATGTTGTAGGTGTGGATAGTGATGCTGATGCTAGTAAGGAAGCCGCTGGGGGCAGTGAGCAACAACTTCCCTTACAAGAAGATAACTGGTGACGTCGTATTGACTGGCACCGTGGCTGTCACTGTACAGGTAAGACACACACCTGTCTCTCTCACAACACACCTGTCTCTCTCACAACACACCTGTCTCTCTCACACACCTCTCTCTCTCTCAGAACACCTGTCTCTCTCCCTACCACACCTGTCTCTCTCAGAACACACCTGTCTCTCTCACAACACACCTGTCTCTCAGAACACACCTGTCTCTCTCACAACACCACCTGTCTCTCTCTCACAACACACCTGTCTCTCACAACACACATGTCTCTCACAACACACCTGTCTCTCTCAGAACACACCTCTCTCTCTCAGAACACACCTGTCTCTCTCCCCCACACCTGTCTCTCTCCCCACAACACATGTCTCCCCAACACACCTGTCTCTTACAACACACCTGTCTCCTCACAACACAAATCTCTCTCACAACACACATCTCTCTCACAACACACCTGCCTCTCTCCCCCAACACACCTGTCTCTCTCACAACACACCTGCCTCTCTCACAACACACCCTATCTCTCTCACCACACACCACTTTCTCACACACCTGTCTCTCTCACAACACACCTGTCTCCCCTCCCCACACCTGTCTCTCTCACAACACACCTGTCTCTCCCCAACACATGTCTCTCTCACACACACCTGTCTCTCTCCCCCACACCTGTCTCTCTCCCCACCACACCTGTCTCTCTCCCCAACACACCTGTCTCCCTCACACACACTTGTCTCTCACAACACACCTGTCTCTCTCTACACACCTGTCTCTCTCACAACACACCTGTCTCCCTCCCCAACACACCTGTCTCTCCCCAACATACCTGTCTCACAACACACACTTGCCTATCTCACAACACACCTTTCTCACAATAAACCTGTCTCTCTCACAAAACTCCTGTCTCTCTAACACACCTGCCTCTCTCACAACACACCTGCCTCTCTACACACCTGTCTCTCTCACTACCTGCCTCTCTCTCCACACTACCTCTCCTCACACACCTGCCTCTCCCCAACCACCTGTCTCTCCACAACACATGCCTCTCCTACTTCCTTGTCTCTCTACACACCTGTCTCCCACAACACCTGCCTCTCTCACTACACACACCTGCCTCTCTCACCAACACCTGCCTCCCAACACACCTGTCTCTCTCCCACACTGCCTCTCTACCTGCCTCTCTCCAACACACCTGCCTCTCTCAACCACCTGTCTCTCTCACAACACCTGCCTCTCCACAACACACTTGTCTCTCTAACCACCTCTCTCTCCCCCACACCTGCCTCTCACAACACACCTGCCTCTCTCACAACACACACCTGCCTCTCACCTGACTTCTGTCTCTCTCCACAAAACTCCTGTCTCTCTCCTGCACACCTGCCTCTCTCCACAAGCCTCTGTCTCTCTCACAACAAACCTGTCTCTCTCTCAACAGACATGTCTCTCTCACAAACCACCTGCCTCCTCACAACCACCTGCTCTCTCACCACACCTGCCTCTCTCACACACACCTGTCTCTCTCCACAACGTGCCTCTCTAACCACCTGTCTCTCCCCAACACACTGCCTCTCCACAATACCTGCCTCTCTCTACCCACACCTGCCTCCTCACCAACACACCTGCCTCTCTCTCCAACACCTGCCTCTCTAGCACACTTGCCTCTCCTCCCAACTACACCTGCCTCTCTCCTAGCCACCTGCCTCTCTCCACAACACACCATCTCACAATACCCCTGCCTCTCTCCACAACACACACCTCTCCCCACAACACACCTGTCTCTCACCACACACCTGCCTCTCTCCTAACACACCTGCCTCTCTCCACAACACACCTGTCTCTCTCCCAACACACGTGCCTCTCTCACCTTTCTCTCTCCAGCACCTGCCTCTCCCACAACACACCTGCCTCTCCACAACAACCTGTCTCTCTCACAATATACCTGCCTCTCTCACAACACACACTGCCTCTCTCACAACACACCTGTCTCTCTCAATACACCTGTCTCTCTCCATACACCTGTCTCTCTCTGTCACCTGCCTCTCCACAACAACCTGTCTCTCACAAACACACCTGTCTCTCTCTCACACATATCTCTCACAATACACCTGCCTCTCTCACACACACCTGTCTCTCTCCCCAATACACCTGCCTCTCCACAACACACCTGCCTCTCTCACAACAACCTGTCTCTCTCCAATACACCTGCCTCTCTCAACAAACCTGTCTCTCTCACAATACCTGCCTCTCTCTCACAACACACCTGCCTCTCTCCCCTACACCTGCCTCTCTAACAAACCTGCCTCTCTCACAATACACCTGTCTCTCTCCACAATACACCTGTCTCTCTCCACAACACACCTGCCTCTCTCCCACACCCCTGCCTCCTCTCACAAACTTCTGTCTCTCTCCTGACTCTGTCTCTCCTACAACACCTGCCTCTCTCCTGCTCCTGTCTCCTCCCAACCTGTCTCTCTCACAACAAACATGTCTCTCTCTCCCACACCTGCCTCTCTCCCTGCCCTGCTCCCCAGCACACCTCTCTCATAACACACCTGTCTCTCTCCCAAACACCTGCCTCTCTCTCTACACCCCTCCCTCCCACACACCTGCCTCTCTCACAACACCTGCCTCTCTCCCAACACACCCACTCTCCTGCCACACCTGCTCTCTCACCCTGCCTCTCTCACACACCTGCCTCTCTACAACACACCTGCCTCTCCCAACACACCTGCTCTCCCCAACACACCTGTCTCTCCTCACAATACACCTGCCTCTCTAATACCTCTCTACAACAAACCTGTCTCTCTAATACACCTGCCTCTCTCTCAATGAAACCTGTCTCTCTCTGAATACACCTGCCTCTCCACTCTCTCCTGTCTCTCTACCTGCCTCTCTCCTAACACTCTGCCTCTCTCACAACAACCTGTCTCTCTCTATCACTCTCACCTGTCTCTCTCACACCTGCCTCTCTCCACACTGCCTCTCACACTGCTCCTGCTCTCACAACAACCTGTCTCTCTCACAACACTGCTCTACCCACCTGCCTCTCTCACAACAACCTGTCTCTCTCTGATACACCTGCCTCTCTCAAATACACCTCTCTCTCTGGTGTCTCTCTCTATCTCACAACACATTTCTCTCCCCTACCTGTCTCTCACAATACACCTGCCTCTCTCCACAACCCATCTCTCTGGTCTCTCTCACAATACACCTGCCTCTCTCTAACACCTGCCTCTCTCCAACACACCTGCCTCTCTCACAACACCTGCCTCTCACAACAACCTGCTCTCTCTGCTCTCTCCACAACCTCCTGTCACCTGCCTCTCTCACACCTGCCTCTCTCCTGCTTACACCTGCCTCTCTCACCTGCCTCAATACCTGCCTCTTTCTCCTCTGCCCACCTGCCTCTCTCCCAATACACCTGCCTCCTCACACCTCTCTCTGTCTTCTACAACACACCTGCCTCTCTCCCCAACAAATGTCTCTCTCACAACACCTGCCTCTCTCTGTAAAACCTGTCTCTCTCTAATACACCTCTCTCTCCACAACACACCTGCCTCTCTCTCTCAAACCCTGCCTCTCTCACAACACACCTGCCTCTCTCCACCAACCTGTCTCTCTCCTCAACACACCTGCCTCTCTCCACAACAACCTGACTCTCTCTCTACACCTGCCTCTCTCTGCATACCTGCCTCTCTCACAACAACCTGTCTCTCACAACACACCTGCCTCTCTCACAACAACCTCTCTCTCACAACACCTGCCTCTCTCTACACACCTGCCTCTCCACAACAACCTGTCTCTCTCTGTCCTGCCTCTCACACCTCTCTCTCACAACAACCCTGTCTCCCACACCTGCCTCTCTCCAACACACCTGCCACACCTCTCTCACACACACCTGCCTGTCTCCTCACACACTGCCTCTCTTACAACACACCTGCACTCTCCACAACAACCTGTCTCTCTCTACACCTGCCTCTCTCACAACAACTGTCTCTCACACAGCCACCTGCTCCTTCCTTCACCTGCCTCTCTCACAACAAACCTGTCTCTCTCACAACACACCTGCCTCTCTCCACAACAACCTGTTCTCTCACAACAACCTGTCTCTCTCACAATACACCTGCCTCTCTCACAACAACCTGACTCTCTCACAACAACCTGTCTCTCTCTATACACCTGCCTCTCTCTCAACAACACCTGCCTCTCTCACAATAACCTGCCTCTCTCCTTCCATCCACACCTCCTGCTCCTCTCTCTACACCTGCTCCTGCACACCTCTCTCTAAACACCTGCCTCTCTCCTATAACCTGTCTCTCTCCTGTCACCTCTCTCACAATACACCTGCCTCTCTCACAACACACCTGCCTCTCTCACAACACACCTGCCTCTCTCACAACAACCTGACTCTCTCTGCCACACCTGTCTCTCTTCCTGCCTCTCTCCTCCCCTCTTTCACAACAACCTGACTCTCTCTGCCCTCTCTCACCACACCTGCCTCTCTCACACACACCTGCCTCTCTCACAACACACTGCCTCTCTCACACACTCTTCTGCAAACCTGCCTCTCCTCAACACACCTGCCTCTCTCACAACACACCTGCCTCTCACACACACCCTGCCTCTCTCACAACAAACCTGTCTCTCTGTACCTGCCTCTCTCAGCCAAACCTGTCTCTCTCACAAACACCTCCTCTCTCTGCACCTGCCTCTCACAACAAACCTGCCTCTCTCCAATACACCTGCCTCTCTCACAACAACCTGACTCTCTCACAATACCTGCCTCTCTCACAACAACCTGACTCTCTCACAATACACCCCTTGCACACTCCTCCCCACCAACAACCTGTCTCTCTCACAACACACCTGCCTCTCTCCCAACAACCACACTCTCTCCTGTCCACCTCTCTCTCTCACAACACACCTGCCTCTCTCACAACAACCTGTCTCTCTCTATACACCTGCCTCTCTCACACACCTCTCTCCAACCTGTCTCTCTGCACCTCCTCACAACACCTCTTCTCACAACACACCTCTCTCACAACAACCTGTCTCTCCAATCACCTGCCTCTCACACAACCTGCTCTCTCACCTGTCTCTCTCCACCTGCCTCTCTCACAACAACCTGTCTCTCTCCTAATACACCTGCCTCTCTCACAACAACCTGTCCCTCACAACACCTGCCTCTCTCACAACAACCTGTCTCTCTCACAACACACCTGTCTCTCTCACAATACACCTGTCTCTCTCACAACACACCTGCCCTCTCTCACAACAACCCTTCCTCACAACACACCTGCCTCTCTCCAAACTGTCTCTCTCACAACCACCTGCCTCTCTCTACAACAACCTGTCTCTCTCCCCACTTACCTCTCTCAACAAACTGTCTCTCTCTCCCTGCCTCTCTCACAACAACCTGTCTCTCTCACAGCCACACCTGCCTCTCTCTCAACACACCTGTCTCTCTCACAATACACCTGTCTCTCTCACTACACACCTGCCTCTCCACAACACACCTGCCTCTCTCACAACCACCTGTCTCTCTCACAACACACCTGCCTCTCACAACAAACTGTCTCTCACAACACACCTGCCTCTCTCCACAACAACCTGTCTCTCTCCAATACACCTGTCTCTCACAATACACCTGTCTCTCTCCCACACCTGCCTCTCTCAACAACCTGTCTCTCTCAACACACCTGCCTCTCTCACAACAAACTGTCTCTCCACAACACACCCCTCTCCTGCTCTCTCTCACCACCTGTCTCTCTCACAATACACCTGTCTCTCTCACAATACACCTGCCTCTCTCACAATACACCTGTCTCTCTCCTACACCTGTCTCTCTCACAATACACCTGCCTCTCTCACAACACACCTGTCTCCCTCAGAAGACTATAATTACATATCATCGTCAATATGATCTTTAAAAAGGATCTGTGTCACGTGTATCTGGTGTCATATGAAGAATTACCTGGTGTCACATGGGAAGTGTCACGTATGAACTATATCTTACATAGTCTAGTATCATATATGAACCGTGTCACATCTTTCCTAGTGTCACATATAAACGGTGTCACCTCTTTCCTGGTGTCATGTATAAACGGTGTCACCTCTTTCCTGGTGTCACGTATAAACTGTCACCTCTTTCCTGGTGTCACGTATAAACTGTGTCACATCTTTCTTGGTGTCACATATAAACTGTGTCACCTCTTCCCGGTGTCACATCTTTCCTGGTGCTAATTAATCACAAAACAAGCATCAATAGCTCTTAGTAATGAAAAAAAAAATTAAGATACTTTTATCATTACTATCAAGAATTTAAGTAATTAATCATATTTTTCTAAGTGACATATAAATAACGAAGTAGCGTGTTTAAAGTAGTTAAGTTATCTTGTAAGTGAGTAAGTTTTTATGGGGGTAATAAACAGTCAGTACATTAGTTCGCGTTAACTAAAGATGAGAAAACTGCTCTCATGACTAACCTATATTAATCTCTTCTGCGAAAAACTTTGAAGGCTAAACTTAAATTAACTTAAGCTAACCAACAAACCTAACCTAACCTAACCTAACCAACAAACCTAACCTAACCTAACCAACAAACCTAACCTAACCTAACCAACAAACCTAACCTAACCTAAGAAATAACAGTGTGCCAATAATATCAGGACAGAAGTCGGGTAGTGTGCGGGGCCGCTTGTACTGTGACCCCGGGATGCAAGGCGTTTAGTTATGTGTTTGAAGACCCTAAGTACAGCTGTTCCATATTCACCGACGTCACCACCGTCGACTACAACACCGGCCCCAGCAACCAAGCCTACGCCATGGAGAGTTTTCGTATGTGGTGACTTTGAGATTGGTGATTTATCTTATTGTTTTATATTGGTGATTTATACAGGTACAAGGTGGATGGTGATTTATACAGGTACAAGGTTAAGTGATTTATACAGGTACAAGGTTAAAGAGATAACAAGGCTATACAGGTAGATCACGTAAGAATGGCTGGATCGTGTTAAGAAGCTGAGAATATAAGCAAGTATTCTATGCCTTTATCTACCTGTCTCTTACTACAATAATTTGATAAAACTCTCCTAGATTATTTCCTCCTTTCCTCGGAGAAGTCTTTTCCTATCATCTACTCTACACAGAGGTGAGAGGGGATTAAAATGATAAATAGAGCACCTTGTAATAGCCTTCAAGATACCTGGCAATACTCCACATGCTGTTATTGGTGTGTGTGTGATTTTTAGTGTGTGTTGCAATGTGTGTGTTGTTACTGCACTGTAATGATAGCGGCACAACCCAGGAGTCGCCTTGCATGGCAGAGAAACGGCCAGAGTGAGGAACTGACATTATACATAGAAATTCACTAATTATCATCGTGAAGGCTGATCTGTTAGTCAAAAGTTAATATCTGCTCAGCTTGTGTTGTCAATTACTAATACATCTTAAAGCTTTTTGTAACTTCCAAGTGAGGATTATCTTTGTACACAAACATTGCCGTCTGGTGTTAGTGTATTCCCTAATTAATTTGTGTGAGGAGGAGGAGGAGGAGGAGGAGGACCTTCATAACACCATTTCCCTTATTCTCATGTTGCCCAAGTTATCAGAATTAATACTCATTTTCTGTTAATACTCATTTTCTGTCTCCCAACAGTCGGCACCTTATACAACTCGCTCCTGGAGACAACGAGTTATGCGTTAAACAACAATAATAACCTGCTAGTGAAGTGTAATGCTAACTACGCACTAGGAGCCATTATTAATGGTAGAAAGATTCAAGACAAGACAGATATTTTGAACGCCATATGTTTGAAATTCAATGGACCGGAGTTCCTACTCAGTGGCTCGGTGGTCAATGTTCCTACAGGCATTCAGAGTACCTCCAAGATGTGCCCGACCAACCATGTGATGATCTCATTCGAAGGAAAGACTAGTACTGGAACCTACACCTGGAATGTTCCGGAAACACTGGAAGGCATGTGTATGAAGTTAGACGGATGGATGGTGAAGGAAGACATGTGCACAAACCTGGCCCACACTGAAGGCTTTTGGAATGGACTAAATTACCCGACGGATAATGAAGCACATTGGAAGGTGTTCTTCAACTGTCCCATCAACTATGTGATTGTACAACTGACACGTGAGTTGGTTAATGGCAACAAGCTAATCAACATGGTACGCTGCTGCCCAGTGATTCCCGTGTGAATCCTTCATCCCACCGACCAGGGAGGTGGCGGTGTAGTGGTGGTCCAGGTTTGGTGAGACGTCGTTGCTGATACTCAACACCCTCATGCCACCTCACACTTACCACCTAAATTCTGACTTTTTCTCACACTTCAACTCGCACTAAAATCTCACACCTTGACTCCCTCAGAACACAAAAAAGTCGAACCCAAACCTTAAATACTAATACTTCTTGGCCATCTAGTTAAGTTTATCCTACCATTACATGAAATGATCCATGTTTATTGTCATATATTACAGTACACTGATCATTTGAGAGCGTAAAGGTTATATTTAGGAATAATCAACAGTATAACTCAGAATATACAAGTCCCAGAAAATGCAATACACACTGCCTTGTAGATTTTAGTAAAGATCATACGTAAATGATTCGATTTGCAACAGCCACTTTGTCCTCACTTGTTGACGTGCGAGGTCTCCTACCAGTCGTGGGAGTAATGCAAACAAACATTAACCATAACCAACCTGAAGTACCAACACAACAAACATATTTATTTATTTTTTTTTTTTAAGTTGGATTGAGAACAGAATCGACTTCACAATATTCCAGAGAACTATTTATGTGTTATTGGTGAAATAGTACAGTTTACGTCATGAAATAGTACTGGTTAAGTCATGAAATAATAGTTTACGTCATGAAATAGTACAGGTTACGTCATGAAATAGTACAGTTAACGTCATGAAATAGTACAGGCTACGTCATGAAATAGTACTGGTTACGTCATGAAATAGTACACGTTACGTCATGAAATAGTACTGGTTAAGTCATGAAATAGTAGTTTACGTCATGAAATAGTACAGTTAACGTCATGAAATAGTACAGGTTACGTTCATGAAATAGTACAGTTAACGTCATGAAATAGTACAGTTAACGTCATGAAATAGTACAGATTGTGTCATGAAAACTGAAGTTAGCGTCAGCTGAAGAAGTTAAATAGATTGGTGTTATTACACAGCTCAACTAACTTAAATAACTAACAACGGGGCTGTATATGTTAATCTAAATCTACAAATATAAAATAAAGTATAACTGTATATCATTAAAATACACTTCCTATACACAATACAATATACATAATACAACAATGAAGACAATTAGGACCAGTGATTTAAAAATATAAAGACAAACTAGATTCAACAGAGATCATGGCGACTAAGAGAGAGTTAAATGCAGCATAACTTTATTAACGAAAACATGATACAATTAACCTAACCCAACTATAACAACTCCGAATAATGAGAGGATTACACAAGTGGCTCTCTCAAATTAACTACAGTGAAGTAATGTTAATGTAATCAGATAAATTCACAATAATGGGAAATTTCCAAATCCTCTGAACCAGTCTGTTATGATACTGTTGGAAACGTGTGTTGAAATGCGACAAGTTTACGTAATACATAATACTAACTCACTCTATTTACTACAAATATAAATCCCAATTGATAGGTGGAAAAGGTTCAGTGGATAGACAATAGATGGATGGAATTGAACCACCACTAACTGATAATAATTAATGTTATAAATGAAAAAAAACCCGAACATGTATTTTGTTAACGTGTCTCCAAGAGCATAAATTTATTCAACTCAGTCTGATTATGAGAAGTTATTACCAATGTTGTTTACCTTGGCGGCTGCATGAAAATAAAATATGGCTTTACTACCTTGGTTCAGTTAGGTTAGGTTACAAACAACTGTCATTAAAACCCATAACTCAGATCACAAGAAATAACTTTTTGAATAGATTAGATTATATTTGATTACCTTTCCTTTCCTTTTGGGTGATTAATTTTCATGTGAATTAAGCTGGGGGGGTTAATCTTCAGGTGATCCGAAATATTGCACACCAAGTACAATACTGAACAAGCACTTCACTCACCTCTGTGCTGGGACGAGAGACACATCCCTTCGTAGTTTCAAGGAAGAATATCACAGCTGACAGAAAACACCCGGAGGCCAGTATGAAGAATGCACCCTAGAAAACATATTATCGTGAATTACAATAACAATTTATATCATAAATTAAATTTGTATTAGTTACTCCTCAATAGCAGTAATCGTTTTCTTTTTCATCATTAAGGGAGATACTCAACTAAAAATATTCTAACACATATGAACTACAAAAAAATAATCTATATATCCCTTTTCAAGTTTTTAAGTGGATATTGTTGTTCGGTACTGAAGGGGGCAATATTACCTGAAGGTGGTCGAGAGAGAGAGCTCCTCCTGCCACGGTAGACTCGGCCTGGTCGTCCCTATTTTTCATTGATTTCCGTAGCTTCTCGAGTTCATCTCTCATCCACTTGTTTATTAGTCCAGCCTGCACCATCTTCCCCAGTCTGGTGGATAAATGGACGTACTGTGGTGGTGATGGTGCACACAGTGGGAGGCAAAATATAATGCTGTCACTGAAGGAATTGACGACCAGTTGGCATAGTAATAATTAGACTTATAGTACTCGAGTTCATAATAGGTACTAATACACGGGGCTTTACACTCACATTACAAGACAGGTGATAGTCATGTTATGTGGCGTTCAAGGGTAAATTAGCTGGGTCAGTCTCAGGACTACGTAAAGGTCACAAAGATAACCAAACAACCATTACCAAGGCCAATGAGCAAATTTCTAAAACAATAATAAACAATAATCGACCCTTTGTTACACGTGTTTATTCTGCGACTAAAATACTTGATATAATAATCAGAAAAAAGTAAAAAAAAAATTTCTTCTTTTGGATTATATAGTGTAGTCAGTCTCCTCTCTATTACAGGTACGAGAGTTCGAGACTGTGGTCCCTTACTGTGTTTTAAGGTGACCTGGGTGATGCTTATAGTGACAGGTTGGTAGTAGTGTATTGGTACTAATGATGGGATTTCAGTACAACATACGCCATTAGGGGCATCCAGAGTTCCAATTTTTTAGAAGCATATGGTAATAAATAAGACACAGTTACTTTTTTAAGACTGAGTGTCAGGCGTCCTACCAAATCCCAGACAAGAGTAAACAAGACGTCTACACTACAAGTAACAGCGAAGGAACTCACTCAGAATCAAATCTATTCTTGAATGGCGCGCCACTGGTGCACACTATACCGTACGACTGAGGGAAGAATGTTTGGCGAGCGTGATAGAAGTGGTTTCTGCCTTTCTGTGCGGCGCGGATTTCCGAGTTGATTTTGGCAGAGATGTACACGATGTCATGAGTCAAGACCTGTGAGAAATAAAGGTTAGGTTAGGTTAGGTTAGGTTAGGTTAGGTTTAAGCCATAACTCAATACTTTCCAATGAAGTCTTACATTCGGTTTCCTCACTGTTACTCACCATATCCATTGCCTGTTTACCTCCAGAGGGGAAACTCCTAGATGGGTCAGTTGTATCCCAAAGTCTCTTGAAGATTCCAAACTCCGCAGTCTAATAGGCAAAGAAGACATAATGCTATTAAGTGTTGTTGAAGCGCAGTAGTGCATTATAACATCAATATTTACGTGTTTTCGGAACAATACATAATTTCAGAGTGGGACAGTGTAACTTGGGAGACCTGGGAGGTATTTATTAAATCCTTGAGTACGATGACATAACCCCTTAAGTTATAAAGGCATCATGCTCTAGAGGTTAAGTTATCGTACTCAGGGGGTTAAATCATCGTACTCAAGGGGTTAAATCATCGTACTCAAGGGGTTAAATCACCGTACTCGAGGGGTTAAATCACCGTACTCGAGGGGTTAAATCATCGTACTCAAGGGGTTAAATCACCGTACTCGAGGGGTTAAATCATCGTACTCGAGGGGTTAAATCATCGTACTCAAAGTACTATAGGGATTTTAATCACTATAAACTGAAAAAACCCACAAATCTACCACAAGGATCTTATCACTATCGTCCTGGATAACAAGAATGAAACCACAAACCACCATCACCTACCACCATTACCTACCACCATCACCTACCACCATCACCTACCACCATTACCTACCACCATCACTAATAGTACCACTGTCACCTACCACCATCACTAATAGTACCACTGTCACCTACCACCATCACCTACCTTAAGGAGCTCTTCCAGGCTGGTACCTTGTTGAATGGCAGGGACCAAGCGGCCTTGAGTGGCCTCCTCAAGATCTTCCAGAGAGTCAATAGGTTTCTCAAAGGTGGGCTTTGTGAGGTAGGCCGTCAAGGTGCCGGAGTACAACGCTGAAGACAAGGGGAGAGAGAGGGAAGATCAATTCATAAATGCTTTAAATTATTAAGATGTTTTATGATAAGAGTATATTCAAGTTACCTAGAGGAGGAGAAAGTATGTAGAAGGAGAACTTGAGGGGAAGGAGGAGGAGGAATAGAAGAATAAATATTTAGTTCAGTAGGTATTGTTGGAGTGTGAAAGAAAGTATTTATCATTCATTATTTGGTGTTGGCAATGGCAACTAGGCATGGGCCGCTAAAAGTTTCAAAATTTAACTAGTTTATTTTGTTTTCCAGTTAAGTTAACCTGATTTTTTTAACATTAATTAATTAAGTTAAGTCAGCCAGTCTGTGTTAAATTTGCTTTGGGTAATTTTCATGTGGATTAAATAACTTAATATCCTGTAAATGTTTTCCAGAAGAGTCAATGAATACTGTACTTTGAATACCTGGGTAGTGAGGCAGTCTGGCACACTACTTCCCTGGTATGAATAAGTCTTGAGGTAAAATAATGATAAATTCTTGACGTTTTTATGTTTTACTCAACAGTTTTTCACATGTAAATAATTTTATTATTTCAGTATGCAAAACCAAGTTAGACTTTCTTACTTGAAAATTATATCATGATAAAATAAGAATTCTGCATATCAAATGAATAATAATCAATGAAAGTTTAAACTCAACCTTTTCAATGTTAACTGCCAAGTTCAAGTCAGATACTTAAATTATGGTTTACCAAGTTACCACAACACCGTGATAGCCTCATTTCCATAATGTGTATACGAAAATGTTTGTTTCATGTTTCAACTTTCAAGTCTTTTCAACTTGCAAAAAGTATTATAATATACACCTCGCCCTTTGAGCGTGTTTATCACACGAACACTGCAACGACAGCTGAGTAACTGAGAGGCAGCAGGCAGGGAGGCCTCACCCTCACCAGCCTGGCCACGCACTGTACAGGAAGGGTACTCACTGGGCTCAATGGCTGGTGTGTTATATATTATTTGTTACTTTTTCTAAGGAGTTAATTGATAATTAATCAAAGTTAATCAATTAATTTGCCAAACTTTCGATTAAGTTAAGTTAAACTGCTATTTCAAAAGTTAACTAGTTAAGCTAAGTTAATAAACTTAATCGTTAACTTGTAGAAGTTAACGATTTAGTTAATTAATTGCCCCATGCCTGATTGGCAACTCAAGGAAAAACTGTTCAAGAGAAAAATTTTAGCCTCAAAAAGAAAAATTGAGGACTAATATGAATGGATAAAAATTTATCAGCAATATTTCTAGGGGCGGAAACTGGCAACTGTGAAATTGGTTGATAGGTGAAATGTTTAAGGAAAAATATTGGTTTTAACACCCTAATGTACTGCATAATAATAATAATAATAATAATAATAATAATAATAATAATAATTAACGGTTTATTGAAAGAGCATAGCAGGCAGAAGGCTGAAAATATACAGTTACATTATTGGGGAATGGGTTTCGATTTACTAATAATATACAAGTAACATAAGTGATACAAATAAGATATATACTAACTAGATGGGGAAAAGCTCAAACTACAGGGCATTTCAACATAGTGACAGTGTAAAAAGTAATATTGACTGGGAGTGAATACACTGGTTAATTGCAAGTTATTGATAATTTTTACAATGGTTGGGACTGGACTGTCCTTATATAGCAATCAGTTCGTGCTCGTATGGACTGGATGCGGTTGTGGTGTCGAACAGCAATTCTCCGGCGAGGGATCTGAGGTGGTAGTAGGAGCGCTTCTTGATATGTGGAGTAGGAAGGGGAAAGAATAATCTTGCATGCCCTCTTTTGCACTTTTTCTAGATGTTTATGTTGTGTGGCATTTAGGGGGGAAGACCAGGTAGGGGAGGCATAGGTGAGCTTGGGAAGTACGAATGTTGAGTAAACACTGAGGAGCTCGGGGGCAGGAACTCCGAGGGACTTGAGACGGCGGAGAAGGTGGAGACGGAAACTGGAGGATTTGACAACTTCACTGACGTGTGGTTTCCAATTTAGTTTGTTGTCTATGGTGATGCCGAGGAGCTTAGTGGAATCTACAACTTGGAGTGTGTTGGGACCTAAAGTAAAGGAAGGGGGTGGGAAAACGTCGGAGGAGAGGTTGATGTGCATAACCATGGTCTTGGTATGGTTGATGGTGACATGGTTGTTGGTGGCCCAGTTTTGGAGACTGTTCAATAAATCCTGAAAGGCAGTATAGTCGGGAGCAAAATTGTTGACGCTGATCCCAATGGTGGAGTCGTCGACATATTTCCAGCGAGCAGGGGTTTCTCTTAGGGCATCATTGATGAGCATAAGGAAGCAGAGTGGTCCCATCTTGGTGCCTTGGGGGACGCCACAGGTGAGTAACTCAAAGGTGGAGACAGCCCCTCGGAAGCGTACAGCTTGGAGTCGGTTACTGAGGAAGTCAGTAAGCCATGGTAAAAGATTTCTTCGAAACCTGAGGTAGATAGCTTTGTTGATAATTAAATTGTGGTCGACTAGGTCGAATGCCTTAGTGAAGTCAATGGAGGAGACAGCTACAGACGTTTTTCGTTTCTCGAGATGGCGGTATATGTAATCGAGAAAGCTGACAAGACAGTGAGTGGTGGAGGAAGTTTTCATGTTGCCAAATTGCTGAGGGTCTACGACTCCTGCAATATCAGCATAAGCCCAGTCGAACACAAAACTTTCACAGATTAGGCTGGGTATTGGGGTGATTGCAATAGGTCGTAGCTGGTTGACTTGGGCACTGGTGATACATAAGAGGTCTTCCAGTCAGCTGGGCATCTGGCTTGACTGAGAGAAGCATTGGTGATGGAACAGAAGGGTTTAGCAAGCTCCGGGGAGAACTCCTTGAAGAATTTCATTGGTAAGTCAATGGGGGTGGTGGAGCGTTCTAACTTTAGTTTGTCCAGGCGTTTTGCTACTTCAAATTCTTCTACTAAGTCAGTGGGATGGGGGGCTGGTAGGTAAGCAGGGAGAGTGGTTGTGTCAAGCCGGGGGAGCGTCTGGCATATAGTAGCGAAATGGTTATTTGATTGCTCAGCTGCGTCAACATTAGTGAGATGGCTAAGGAAGGGGAGGGGGTGTGTCTTATTGTTTATTCCACAGAGTTCTTTAAGCTTACCATACCACTGACTGATGTTGGTCTGCTTCAGGTGTTGCAATTTGGTTGGATAGTGAGACTTCTTAGCAATGCATATTTCGCGGATGACTCGGTTGCGAAGGGACCTGTAGCGGTTGTGGTCATTGAGATAAAAGGCTCTGTCTCTCTGTTGTATGAGTCTTTTGATCCGAGGTGTGATCAAGGGCAAATCAGCTGGGTGAGATCTGACGGACTTCTCGGGGAAGAAGTGGTGGTGAGCTTCCATGGTGGTGTTGGTATAATTTATCCAGTTGATGTCCACGTCATCCACACTAAGTACTTCAGTCCAGGGATGGTGAACTATCCACTGCCCGAAGAGACGCACTGCAGAGTCAGTAATCGGCCTGTGGGTCTTGATGTAGGGTCTCTGTACTTGAGTGGGAGTGGCAGCTGGGGACCAGAGCACTGACAGGTGTGTGCTACACCCGATAGGAGGCATTGGTTGAGGTGGTTGGTACTGGTCCGCTAAGTCAGTTAAGATAAGGTCAAGGGTATTTTGACCGGGTGTGGGGAAGTTCACAACTTGTGATAGTGACAGCTGGTCCTGGATATCAATGGTGTCAATTTCATTATAATCCCCACATAATACTAACTTGGCACATGGGTACCTAACTCTGAGGTGGTAATGAAATGATTGATAAGAGTGTCTCTGGTGGGTGAGCGAGGCGGATGGTATGACACACAGATTATGATAGAAGCAGTGTGGCGCGGGTGGGCCCGTGGCACAACACGTACCCATAATGCTTCCACAGAAGAGGGCAATGCCCCCTCCACGTCCATGTGAAAGAAGGTGATGAAAGAGTTGATATCCCTCAATATGACACGTTTCAGGCACAATTTGCCAGTGTGTGTGTGTGTGTGTGTGTGTGTGTGTGTGTGTGTGTGTGTGTGTGTGTATCAGTGCTTGAGAAAGACAAGTAAGACTCACAAAACACACATAACATATACTCACCATACATAATAATACAGAAGGCATACCAGGAGAAAAGAACCAGTCTGATTGGCCAGGCCTTAGCGTAGATGAAGTTCCCTTGATTCAAAACACTCCTGAACATGTTGAAGGAATAAGTAGCCATCACCGCCTTCCACGTCCTCCCTGACTTCGAGGACGACTGGTTCGAGTATGACATCCCTCCTACTAAAACATCCTTTGAGGAAATGTCAATCACATTTTCCGCTACTTTGTTTTCATTGACACAAACAGTACCATCTCCTAGGACGAGTAACCTCAACTTCTGCAGGCAATGGTCATGACTCCAGGTAGCCAGGTAGCCTAGAGGGCCCATGAAAATAGTCACCAGAATCAATAATATCCATAACTGAAATTAAAAAAAAGGAAAAAATATTATCAACTTCTTTCCTCTCTGTCTCCATACCTTTTTCTGCCTTTTTTTACTGATAATTCCCCCTTCTTCCCTCTTCCCTCCTTTACTCCTCTTCTGAATTGCGCTTAAGTGTCAAAGGATCTGTACTTCCTCTCCTAATTATTCTCCCTACCTTTTCTACACCTCTCCATCCCTGCATCTCCCTCATCACACACACACACACACACACACACACACACAGACACACACACAGACACACACACAGACACACACACACACACACACACACACACACACACACACACACACACACACACACACACCTCTCACTATCTCTCTTATCTCACCTGATATGAAAAAGGATGGAAGATGGCTAGTCCTCGATTCTTCTCCTTGGGTGCTCGAGAGGTCAAAGTGGTGGACTCGAGGTAGTAAGGGTTAGTGAAGTCCACGACCGTCTCCCTCAATCCTGCAGGAAGGACAGAGGTCACAGGTCACAGGTCACAGGACACAGGTTACAGGACACAGGTCACAGGACACACCAATCAGGTTCTTCGTCACGATATACAGATTTACTTGATTTATTCTTATTTCCAGATTTTAGCATTTCGTATAGATTAGTGAAGTAGGAAGAAAGACTGATAGGATCACTTGAAGATAAGGCACCCTAGGTTTATTTAACACCCTAAGGTCAAGTTGCATTGGCTTAGGATAGGTTGAGTTGGGTTGAGTTGGGTTGAGTTGGGTTGGGTTGGGTTGGGTTGGGTTGGGTTGGGTTGGGTTGAGTTAAGTGTGGCTAATCATCAGGTGAAATAAGCTAAGGTGTCTAATCTTCAGCTAATCTTCAGATGATCCAACAGATATATAGATATAATCCCAGGTTACCGCTAATACCTTCCCTGGACATAGACACTCACTTGTCACACTGAATTCGTTAATGGCAAAGTTAGCTTCATGTCTGGCCACCATCCCCACCATGCCTGTGATGCGTCCGTCTGGTTTAGGGCCGCCCCAACCACGATCTTCTGGCTCCACCACCCGCATCCTGTAGGGGTGGTAGTGGTGGTGGTAGAACATAATGGTGGTAGAGCAGTTGGCGATGGAAGTTGTGGAGGTGTTAGAAGTAGGAGTAGTGGTGGAGGTGGTGAACGTGATATTGTTAGTGGTAGTGGTGGAAGTGGTGGAGGTGGTGAACGTGATAGTGTTAGTGGTGGAAGCGGCAGAGGCGTAGAAGTGGTGATAATGGTGGTTGATGGGGTTGTATTGTAAGCGGTAACAAAATCAATGAGGTAATTTAGGGGTGTAGAATCATCAGGTAAAATAAGCTGGGGTGTTTAATTTTCAGGTAACCGGCAATAAAATCTAAGAAAATAAAATAAAAACCTCACGTAAAGTTAAGCTTGTGGCTGAGTGTGGTGATAACGTTGACGTCTATGCCAGCGTCAGGTAAAGGTGTTCCATCTTCCAAGTACTTGAGTTTGAACCATGGCCAATTACTCACAGCTGCAACAGTCATTTCTCGCCCCATGAAATCCAAGTACAGGATATCTAGATCAGGGAACATGGGTTGGAAGATGTGACCTTTCGAGCCACTGGAGGTCCTCAGGTCATCCCACAGCCCAATGACCTCAAACCTGGGAGATAATGAGGGACATTATCAGATAAAACAGGTCACCAATTCCCACTGACCTGATACCTGGAGCAAAATATAATTCATGTCAGGAAATACAGGTCACCAAATGTTACCAGATGACTCAGGTTATGACTTTAGATCGTGTATATAACGTGTAGTAACCTTGTTTAAATACGACCTTCCTAGAGCAATTAACAACATTACATTTTACATGATTGATTTGATCGTTAGGTGAGGTTAGGTTAGGTTAGGTTAGGTTAGGTTAGACGTACCTGATGGTGTTGTCGGGGTGGATGTAAGAGGAGTGGATGCTGTAGCGGGTATCTGAGACTCTCACTGCCATACCCACCTGAGGGACCAAATCTTGTTATCTTTATTTATTCTTTTTTACAGACACTGATGGTTGTGAGAGATGAGTGAGGGGCTACCTACTACCAGTCCCCTTCCCCCCCCCTCAGCCCTTACACTTACTTTACTTACAAACACTGATACTATTTGTCTTAATAGATGAAAGCAAAATACTGAAGCTTTGAGATGGCACAGATATCACCCAGAGACTATAGATCGTGAAGCTGATTTAATATTCTATAACATCGTGATATTACTTCTATTCTCTACAACACATTTCTATCAGGTGCACTTAAGAATAGAGAAAAATGGACAAATAAGGAGGCGGGTTGAGCCCTTCCCACAGCAAATAACCCTCTTAACTTATTTCACCTCACTCATAGACCTTAACTGAGAGATAAGTTATTATTACCTCACCTGTGTTCCTTCCCTGAGAGATTCCTGGAGGCTATTAATGATGTCATCCTCCACAATGACCAGCCAGCGGATGGAGGGTGACTCGAGGGAGTGTTGACGTACCTTAAGTAATATAAATATGAAAAAAATGAATCACTGCAAAGTGGGATCACCTGATGATTAGACACCCCAGGTTATTTTGCTTTAATATTAACCAACTTAACGCTATACCCGGCGAAGGAGTAGGTTAGGTTAGGTTAGTAAATTAAAAAAGAATATAAGCAAAAAAAATATTTGACGTAGCAAAAGACTTAATATCCCCAAGAAGTAATAGATTATAACAGTCTTGTGTACACCTTGATCCAGCGAAGGTAATAACACCATTACTTAGGTTTTACTCTCTATAACATAACCAAACACATTAAATATTTACCAGAATATTACTTTAGTTATGGTAATAGTGATAGAAGTTTCACTGTATACTTAGAATAACTTTGACCCCAGTAAGTTAATGAAGAAATATTTAATATATAAGTACTGAATCTTTTTAACGTCTAAGAGCTGTTATATATGCTAGGGACTGTCAGTTGGTTGAAAATTTCCAAAGGAGGGCCACCAGACTGGTGCCTGCACTACGGCACCTCAACTACCCTGAGAGATTGGAGCGCCTGAACTTGCCTAGCTTATACTACAGATGGGCAAGGGGCGACGTAGTTGAGGTGTATAAGCATCTCAGGAGGCACTACTCAGTTGAGTGTCCTTACCTGGAGCTGGCCGACGTTCGCCCCACAAGGGGTCACAGCTCAAGGTTGAAGAAGCTACAAGCACAGAAAACTGTGAGGGGTAAATTTTTCGGAATGGGAGTTGTGAACTTTTGGAACAATCTGTCAGAGAGTGTTGTGACGGCACCGAGTGTGAGCTCTTTCAAGACCAGACTTAACCAACACTGAAGCAGGTTCAGATACACTCAGGAGCCTGTGCATGCCCAGTACTTGCCAACAGTGCGTGACAGAGACGTGACCGATCGCCCAAGCGGCTAACGAACAGATCAGCGGTGAAGAGGATAAAAGTAAAAGTAAAAAGTAAAGTATTTATAACCCATGAGGTGAGCATCATTGAGGGAAGGAAAATAACAACAGAATAAAAAATGAGAGTCTATGTTTGCGCTTAACAAGAGCGGAAAAATGATAATTGAGCCAACAGGTAAAAAAAAATCTATCACGAGGAAAAACTGCTAAAATGAGCGAAAAACTGCTAATTTGCGTCATCAGGTTAAAGGAAGAAGACTCACCACACGGAAAATATTATTAGTGTTGTTTGGGGAGCAGAGGGTGACCACTGTCTGTGTTTCTCCTCCATGGTAAGGCGATCCGAACGTCTCCTCTAGCTGGGTGGGGTTCGAGTCATACTTGAGAATGGTTATGTCACTCCAGGTCTTGTAGCACGACTTGACCGTCTTTGATACTCCTGTTATTGTAAAAAAAATTAATAATCCTAATGAGTACAATATATGAATGAGCTTGGGTACAAGAACTTTATATCTTGAGTACAACAACTAGATAATGACCCCAAGAGTACAATACCTGCAATACCACCTTGAGTACTATATCTTATCTATACTTTAGTTCCTCGACCTACTGCATATATTAATGAAATACCTAATTTTTTTGTTTTAATATTTAAAACTATTTTCCACTATCAATACAAAGTAACTGGACTTAAGGACGAGCATAGACAAGTATTTCATTCACTGTTCTTCATTCACTGTTCTTCATTCACTGTTCTTCAATCACTGTTCTTCATTCACTGTTCTTCATTCACTGTTCTTCATTCACTGTTCTTCAATCACTGTTCTTCAATCACTGTTCTTCAATCACTGTTCTTCGTTCACTGTTCTTCATTCACTGTTCTTCATTCACTGTTCTTCATTCACTGTTCTTCATTCACTGTTCTTCATTCACTGTTCTTCAATCACTGTTCTTCATTCACTGTTCTTCATTGCCAATCATGTGTTTTATTGAACTCTCTTTCTCTCTCTTACACACACACACACACGCACATACCTGGGAAGAAGTCGTCATAAATAATGTATACACGACGTCTGTAAGTCTGCTGCAACAAGAATGACAATAGCGACACCAACACTGACTCATTCTTCTCTGTGTTTTCTTCGCTGTAAAGAGAAAGAAAACAAAACGTAGATAAGTTCAAACACAGAATGATTTGGGAGGAAAGAAAGGATTTAAAAAGTTTGACCTAACCTAACCTAAACTAACCTAACCAAATTTCAGCTAACCCAACCTAACCTAACCTAAACTAACCTAAACTAACCTAACCTAACCTAAACTAACCTAACCAAATCTCAGCTAACCCAACCTACCCTAACCTAACCCTAATTAACCTAACCTAACCTGACTTAACCTATTCTAAGTTAATCTCTAGGTCGCGTTATGATGTTTCAATTATCAGGTAAAATAAGCTGGGGTGTCTAATATTCAAGTGACCCATAAACAGTAACTAACCCGACTATATGATAGAGTGAATGTAAAGCAACAGCTGGTCCAATCACTGGTAGCCGAGTAGCAGATGGATTAGCCAAGACACCAACTGCTCCAGATGGCTTGGCTGGCGTCTCACAGATGGCACTCTCTACTCCACACTCCTCCGCTCCACATAACATCCACACTGGTATATTGCATAGATTAATTTATTGGTTTAATACATCATTTATTATTCGACAAAATCCGACCTGAATAATAAATATCTTTTGGTATGGTAAATATTTTCAGTGGTGTATATTTTTTTACACTAACAAAATGGTTTATAAACAATATGAGAGAGAGAGAGAGAGAGAGAGAGAGAGAGAGAGAGAGAGAGAGAGAGCCCGCGTTACAGTGAAGGTGCTCTGAATCTCCCAGACTTCACATCATAATACTCACGATGTCTTATGAGCACTATGATGCCCAACAGAACACGAGGTTTCATGCTGGAGGTACTGTCCCAGGTCGTGCTTCTTTCAACCTGGAATTACGACATTGTTAGATCATTTACATACAGTTTATTTATACATCAGGGTCTAAAAACATGATTAACCTGATTGCCAAAATGAGGCTTGGTTGGCAATATTGAGTCTGAGTGGCTATACGATCCTATATTTCCAAACCAGTCATATACTGTCAATTAGGCTTCAGAACCGGTTTAAATCCTATCTATCTGCCTTGATTCTATGATCTGGTCAATAAGGTAAGAATATTATATAGTTATCCATAAAATTAGCACCAGCGACTATCGTTTTCTTTAATAAACTCACCAAAGAAAATGAATAATTGGAAATAATGACACGTTGATAGCGACGTTAATAGGAGATGAATTCCGAGGTTCATAGTGAGAGCCGAGAGAGATTCTAAGACATAGGACAGAGGTAAAGTAAACCAAGGAATCGATAAGTGACCGTGACTACAAGATTTTTAGAAGATATTGAGATAAATGTGGTCTCACGTAAACGGGTGTAGCACTAGATAAAAATCCCACATACTATTTTTCATTGGACAAAATAATCCCACCATACCATTTGCCATTGGACAAATTCCCACCACACGAATTTCCATTTGGACAAAATCCCACCATTACTTAGCACCAACACAACCATAATTTTTATAGGAATATGGTTATTTTTCCTTGTATCCTGATGCCTGGTTGTGTGTTTACGAATATATTTGTCAATGAATGCCACATATTTTTTACTTGCACCACCGAAATATCAACCATTCACAGTAGTTAAAATAAGATTTAAAAAAAATAATAATATGAAACTATTGAGGTCACTCTGAGCTGCAGGCGGCCAATTGTGGTTGGTAAAAGAGGTTGAGCCGCGGCGACTGTTTACCACTAGAAACTGTGCCTAGCAGCTGAATAAATAATGTTAGAGGTGAACACTCTCTCTGTGAATGTTATTAATACCTCTGTTTTGAAACATAGAGTTATAGATAACGTGTTGTCTGAGTCATCTTTACCTAATGAGGAGCATGATTATACTTATGTTCCTAGCAGTTTCCATTTGTCCAAATGTTCCAACAAAATGTTTGCATATACAGCTGGCTTAGTTGTGCTTCGGTTAAATAAAACTCTACACTGTGAAGCTTGTGTTGATGTAAGCACTAATGTTGGCCAGATGCATTCTCTGATTATGTTGAAATCCAAAGGGGGGCTGATAGATCCTTCAGATGATGTTATAGATATCTGTGTTAATTGTGAAAAAAAATTAGAGTAACCATGTCATGTAGACAAAACACAGATCTAACTTAAGGAAGAGTAGATTTTCACAGTGTTATCAAGTTACACTAACAGAGAAGTATTTCCTAAACTACCTCACCACATGTTTGATACAAAACCTAGCAAACATCACATACACCTATTGATTAAAGCAGTTGCCGAAAGCTGTTTGCAAGTAAGATATGCATAAGCTGCAGAACAGTGGACTCCTAAGTTACAAACTCAGGTTAAGGTAAAGAATTGTCAGATATACACAAAGCTCATTCATTTCAGTGGCCAGTAGGATTATGTACTGTACATATTGACAACGTATTTACACAGATGTTTATTGTATTATTTGTATATATTTTTGTGAATAATAAAGTTTAATTAATTTTCTCACTGGCTTACATATTAGCAATGTATTTATGAATAAACAGTAAGACAATAATTCATGTGAACTAGCAGTACATGTCGGTAACTGGTGAGGTGTGGAGGCAGGCAGTGGGTTCTTGCCAACCACAGTTTGGGAGCAGCGCGGCTGGCTAAACCATCTATGTACTGCGCACATCAGTGTCATTCCTAAAACCTTTAATTCATATTACGCTGCATAACATTCAAATCCACCGCGCTGGTAAAATCTCAGAAAACGGGAATCGTTGATAAAGACTAACTCACCTAATGAATGTTACGGAATTATTTGATGAATTGTACCCAGCTACGGGTATATAATATTAATTGTATGTATTCATAGCATTAAGGAGAACTCAAGGTATGTATAAGATGATCGGGAAAGTCCAGTTGAGCCGGACTAGTGTACTGTAGGACTAAGTGTGGATCAGGGTTTGAAGGTCATACTATTTACGTCTGTGAACGTGTAGCGAACATAACTTCCGCAGATATCATATGAAAATACATGAGAACAATGGTCTGGAAAAAGGATAAATGTATCAGAACTATGTGAGGTGTTGGAAGTGACCCAGAAACTATACTTGAAAGGAAATATCTTGTATACATCGGTGTGAACTTAATACACCTCGTATCCTCACGTGACGTATACCCCCGACATGTACAGTGATCAGAGAATCTTATGTCTGTGTTCAAGTAGTGCAATGTGTGAGAGAGGATCCCTTATTACAGTTTTAAGTGAAGTGGATATACCCACGCCATGAACATTCGGCTTTTGTTTCAGGGTGACGTCCCTTGCACCCGGACTCCAGGTGTGGGTTGATGATATAGCCCAAGAACGGTCAAACCCAAACCGTATTCTGGTATGTAAGTTAGGATTAAAATAAGTATTTATATGACATGAGGTTGTAATGTACGGGAAAGTATTCATGTGGGAACCATAAGAAATCAAAGGGAAAATTAAAGATTGGAAACTGTAGGCCTAAACAGAGAGGAGGGGGGGGGCATCGGCCTTCAGACGTGCTTGCTCCTTTCATCATCCCAGGTCAGTGAACTTCATCGGATTGTATTCAGTTCTAAAACAAGACTTATAGCAGTTATAATACCTTAAACCTTTGCCTGATGTAGAAAGTGAAATAGTAATGTTAGGGTGTGTGATAACGGCCCATCAGGCATTATTTCTCAGACGTGCTTGCCATCAACCCAAGTCCCCGCGCACTCTGACTCACCAGAACGGCGGCCATTATGAGCGTCCCTCCATGTGAGGTGACTACTCCCAGCTGTGCTAATCCACTGTGAACCTGTGGATTCGGCATACCACCACATGAGTAGGAATACATAATGAAATAGCTTTCCGCGGTCGTCATGGAGCGACCTATAATACCAGGCGTAGAAACAGTACTGGTATGTCTTGGTGAAACCCTCGTCTCTACCCACCGAGGGCGGTGTGTGAACGAGGTGCCTGATATGTGTACCTAGAAATTACAAGGAGTCCCATACTTGCAGGTGTAGAGTATAACAGGTGTGGTGAGCTGGTGCTACAGGGAGGTGAGATGGTGTTACTATGTATGATGACCTAAGGTGCTATATTCCATACAGGTGGAGCAGTCCGACGTGTTGAGTGATGTTGTAAGAAGGGTATCAAAATCATCGTTGTTCTTCTGAGGAAGGCCAACTCATTTGTATTTTACCGGAATGCAGTATGTTGTATAAGGAATAAATTAGTTAAGACATGTATGTTTTCACCCTTCTTTCCCCTTATCGATCTGGTCAATGAAAAACCTAACCCCCCAATGCCTAGTCCACTCTGCCCGCTACCTAACGAGCTACATACTGCCCAGAGGGGGTCTGGTGGCAGCAACCTTCAAAATGAAGACAATAGTTAATTTATCCCCAGAATCTGGCAGTATACTGACAGCTCTATACACCGTCGCCGCCTCCACCCGATTATATCTCCATGGTCCAGCCAGCACTTCTGTTACCTGACCTAACAGCCGGTCTAGACACACCCAGATTAGTGTTAATTAAGAGAGGTCATCTGCCGGCTGGAGATCTCCAATATAAAGGTCCTGCAGCTCCTTCCACGAGCAGAGAAATAGAGATAATAAATAACTATGAAAGGAAATGGAAGATAAAAACCAATATCCAAAAACTCAAAATAATTCATATCGCAAAAACAAAATCCTACCCCAATATTGTTAAAAACCAACAAATACCATATGCTGCCAACGGAAAAATATCAGGACTCAAGATGACCAGAAACGGAATAATCCCCCACATCAATGAAAGAATAGCAATAGCAAAATCACAACTTACAAAGCTCAGAAGATTCCGCCAATTAAACATCAACACGCAACTGCTCCTATACAAATCACTGACGAGACCACACTTAGAATACCCTCCGGTACCTCTGAACACAATCACAAGAACAAACAAACTTAAATTTCAAGCAGTGCAAAATATAGCCCTCAGAAGAGCGGCAAAACACCAACCACCATACACACTAACAGTACAAGACATACACACAGAACACGGCATAGACCCACTCAACACCAGCATACACACCCAAGCAAATGCAATATGGGAAAAAATCCATCAAGAACAGGATCCCATACTAAACCAACTAAATGAGGAAAACAACAACACATCACACAGATTGTGGCCTAGAAGCAGAAAAACTGATAACGAAGAACCGGGGCCCGGACAAAAGCCCTCTGTTTATATGTTAAAGAACACAAGAACACAACACAAGAACACAAGAATGGAGGAAACTGCAGCGGGCCTATTGGCCCATACTGGGCAGTCCCGTTTACACCCAACCCCTATTGCTCATACAAGCATCCAACCTATGTTTGAAGCCATTCAGCGTATTCGAGTTAATGATGATATTTGGTAACTTGTTCCACTCATCCACTACTCTGTTTCCAAACCAGTGTTTACCTATTTCACGCCTAAATCTAAATTTGTCTAATTTAAAACCACTGTTACGAGTTCGCTCCTGGTTGGATGGTTTGAGTACCTTTGTAATGTCCCTTTGTTTAGCCCTGACTTCCACTTATGCACCTCTATCAGGTCGCCCTCGCTCTACGTCTCTCGAGGGTGCAAATTAAGATGCTTTAACCTGTCTCTATACTCAAGGTTCCTAATGCCCGGGATTAGTCTTGTCATTCTCCTCTGAATTCTTTCCAAGGATTCTATATCCATTCTGTAATACGGTGTCCAGAACTGAACTGCGTAATCCAGGTGTGGTCTCACAAGCGCATGATACAGTTTTAGGATGACCTCGCTAGTCTTGTAACTAACACTCCTTTGTATGAACCCAAGTACTTTATTAGCCTTGTTACGAGCAAAAACAC